TGATTAGAAGTGCCCATTTTCCTTCCAGATGGTGGTCCATGAAAGTGAAGAGTGAGCGAGCCCTCCTAGCTCAGGGCGGAAGATATGCACAATGTGTGTCTTCATGGGTCCTGACCATTATGCTTAATTTCCATGTGACTCCTTTTCACATGCAATAAAATTAGCCTTGTTTTAAATTTGGGGCTGTCTCATTGTATTTGTTTTCTTCTATCCCATAAAGAAAGGACTTTTGTTTGGTGATTTTTATGTTGAAATCTCAGTAAGCAGATGGCTTTATTAATTGTATGTATGTGGGGGGGGAGAGATTACTTTGGGCTTAAATTTGATAGAGGTTAAAAAGAAAAACTATTTCTAGGTTAACTATTGCTTTGCTGTGCACATTTGTGTGTGAGGAGGAGGGTGGATTTCAAGGGTCACATTTCAATATGTGAGGGAAACACACAAGTAGGCTTAAGAAAACCCAGTCTCAAGTTGGGGATGATCTGACCTCCTCTAAATTCCATCAGGGAACTATGTCAGGAATATAGTAAATATTTTCTGGGTAGCTGCACCATGCTAGCACTGTGCTATTAGAAATATACAAATGAATAAAGTGTCAGGCCCCTGTAGGAGCTCAGTGTAAATCTACTACACGATCCTGTTATCTTGGCTCCATCTGTACTCTTCCAGAGCTACACAACCAAAAATACCATCCCTTGCTCAGGATGACTCTCTATTTATCTAAGGAGGAAACATAGATCTAGAAGTTAGAATAATAATTTTGCTGACCAACTACTGGAAATAGCATCTTCTAACCTGGGGTAACTCATTTCTCAGTATAATTAAACTTATCAGAAAGAGTTGCCAAGTTGTTTTCTTTATTCTAGATTAGGAGAAGACCCTGTTTGACTCAGGTGAAAATTAAAATCTATGGAGAAGGATGGGCCAGATAGTTCAGTGGACTAAAGTGCCTGCTTAGGCAGAGCACAGTGGCTGGGGTTCAATCCCCAGCCTGCTGCGCTGGCCCCGCCCCAGAGGTGTGCTGAGATGGTGATTGAGACTGGGCGTGGTGGTGCATGCCTGTAATCCCAGCACTTGGGAGGCTGAAACAGGAGGATCACTATGAGTCTGATCTATGTAATGAGACCCTGTACTAAATACAAAAAACACAAACAAACAAACAAAAATCTATGGGGATTGTTGTCAATGCTCCATACTGTTTAATAAAGAGGAAAGAGGCTAAATTGATGTCAGGTTTGGCCTGTCTGTACCTTCAAGTCATTTCAACTTGCTTTCACACACAACTTTATTTTAATTAACTTTGCAGTGCTGAGGACTAAGTCCAGAAGCTTCTGCATCCTAGGCAAGAACTACAACTCCAACCCCCTGAGTTGCTTTCAACATTTCATGGCAACACTATGACAAAAAAATAGCATGTTCTTCGGGTGATGTCTTGAGGAGAGGAAATCACAGCAGTGAGAACAGGTCTGATTCATGCCCAGGCCAGAGGCAGGGTCAAAGGTTATGGTCATTGAAGTCCTCTCTGCAGAAAGGGTACAACAGAGAAAATGAAGGAAGTTTCTCATTGCAGAGGTGTCCAGTTAGGTAAAGAAGTGAAAGACTGCACTATCACCATCTTGCTATGAAGTAGGAACATGTAATGAATCATGACAACTCAAGTCACCAGGAGGTAGACATAACCTGCCTCCTGATAGAAGAGCATCTCACTCCTACAAAGAATTCTTGCCCAGCAGTCCACCTGGGGTCTACCCTCTAGATGTGGTTACCACCAGCCTCTAAGCAACTTGGGCCAGGATATATGATGCAATCTATAAAATACAGGATGTAGGGAACTCAATGCAACAAGTGATCTAGTTGTTCCAACAAATGAGTGGCAAAGAATAAAAAAATACAGGAAAAAAATGGAAGGGACAACCTACAGCTTAAAGAGGCCCATCCACCACTTATGCTGCAGGACTTGTTTTGTAAAAGACCTTAACTCATATAGATCTTGATTTGTACTGAGTATAAAAACACATGTGCACACATGTGTACTCTAGTTTATAAAGTTTGGATTAGTACTGGATATTGATGGTGCTTATGGACTCTTACTCATTTTTAAGGTTTTTATTCATTGTCTGAAATTGTGCTGATCTTTAAAAACACAATATTTATAGATATGGAAGGAATGGCAAGTGAGGAAGTAAGCTTTATAGTCAACCTGTCTTATAGGATTTAAAGCAAAGATTTATTAAAGAGAAGCTTCTGCTTCTGATGCATTTTATGCAGGACAGAGCCTTGAACTTGAAAATTTCTGAGCCTGTGGTACCTGAGATATCCACTTATCAGCAAAACAGGCCATTTGACACAAAGGAAGCAAGCAGAGCCTGATTCTGGAAGCTCCTTCTGGTTGTCTATTTCTATTGGGCTTTGATCCTGTGAAAGACAGAAAAGAGAAAAGTTCATTTTTCTCAGAGCTAGTGTTGTGATAAGCTTTACTCCACAAAGCAAACAATGTTGGTGATTATAGAGAATAGAAGCTTTGCTGTTCAAGAGACGAGATGAAAGCAGGAAACTCCTTCCGAACAAGAAGTTGCTATGTGACATCCACCCACTAGAGGGGATCTTACAGGGCAAGGAGGAGGAGGAGGAGGAGGGGGAGATCAGCCACTGTTTACTGAACTCTTAGCCACTGTGGGCTGTCTGGCATCACCCATATGACAATTCAGTGAAGATGAGATGGGCCTGACTACACCTTAGGGAGCCTGGAGAAACCAGAGCACTGAGTAACTTCCTCAAGGTCAAAGTGGCAGAGCTGGGATTCTCCTTGGAGTCTGAAGCTGTTTTATCTAATAAAGCACTGCCTACCTAGGCAGGTGGCTGAAGAGAGGCAAGAAATATCTCCAGAGAGGTAGAGCGTGGGGCTCAGGTATGCCTAAAACTGGCATGATAAGACAAAGTGTCCTTTTTCCCCTTTCTGATTAGTTTTTCTAATAACTTCTCTCAACATTTCACTATGATCACCCTTCTCTTGCCCCCCAACTCATCTACCCCATCCCCAGGTCCCCCCAGGAAAGCCATGCAGTCATTCAGTAGGGACATGTTTGTCCTCCGGCTCATGAGTGATATCCACTAGATTTTTGCATGTAAGTTCAAAAGGGTGAAGCACCTCTCATCTTCCAACATAGGTCTTTGAGTGGGATCCTTCTCTTTCCAAATTTTAAGGATCATTTAAAATTAATTTTACTATTTTTAAATAAATAGGCTCATCTTGTTAAAAATTATTTTTCTGGTAATGAGGCACAGAACTTTTAATTTTATTTTTAGCATCCTCTGGCTTTCTGAATCCTTACTGAGTCTCAATTCTCTCAGCAATAGATTTCTTTTTTAAAATTATCTGTTATAATTCTCAAATATATAAGGAATATATACTCAAGAACAGGCTTACAAAAGACTTGTCAACTGCAAAGGGATTGCCAGCTAGGGTAGAAAACTCCTTTATTTGGGATGGATGAGATCTTGATTTATGATTGGCAGATGGTCTCCTCTCAAGGACAGCAGGGACACAGTTTCTAATAGAAGTAACATGTCCTTGTGGGGGGAAATGAGCTCCAGTCTGTAGCCCGTCACAGATGGTGAGGGCAGCTCTTCATTCCTCCATGCCTGGCTCAGTGTGACAGCTGAGTGTTTTAATAAGTGACTATACCTCAGACCCTGTCAGCCACCCAGAACACAGAGGTTTAATTGCACTCTCCCCCTTAATCCCACTGCTAAAAACAGCCAAAGCCCAGAGGCCTTGAGGCTCCTTGTTAGAACTGAGCCGGGATCTGGTTACAGTTGAGACATTCTGGAGGGTCTCATGTTCCCCGTTGTGGGCCTGCAGGAGCCAGGAGCTTCAGGCAGCACTAGTTATTTTTATATAAGATACTGTAGGCTTCTCATAATGGTGAGAAACATGAAACCCTTGCTCCTGGGTACGAATTGGTCTGCTCTGTTTTACATCAAATGAGATATGGCTCTCTTCTAGCAGCCATGGGAAGGGCTAGGAGAGGACCAACACCAGTTTGCTGAGAAAAGAGGCATCACAGATAAAGAAAACGTAGCACAGTCAGGGGTCCCCATGTGGCCTTCTAACCCAAAGGACAGTAAAGAACATAGAAGTACCCAGGTAACAATAATAACACTAAAACCATCTGGTAGTAGGTGTGAGAGGAAGGTGACAGGTGGTGTGGTTTCATAGTCAAAGGCCAAAAGAAAGGTGATGGCTTTTGCAGTGCTTTGTGCCAACAGATGCTCACTATTATTCACATGAAATTCCTAGTAGGAAAAACGAAGTGCTGGGCGTATCTGCTGCCTATGAGGGAAGGACGCTCTCTCTGAGCCAGCTGCTGGCCTCCATACATCAGTGACTAAGGGAGAATAGCAACAGAGGAATAACCCCAAAGGGGTTCTTTATGAATGTGAGAACAGTTCTAGCCATGAACTTGATTTTCTTGGCTTTCTGGAACAAGTGCAAAGGCACTGCTGGCTCTTAAGTCATACAGGCTTATAAGTCTAAGTGAGCATCAGTTATCTGAAAGGAGGCCCTTGGGGCAAGGTGCTGTCCTATGAAGGCCGGGGGCTGCTGGCGCAAGCCCAGGGATTCCTCCACCACCCCAGATTTGCAGCTGGAAGTTTCAGCTGCATGATTCCTTATACCTGTGTTCCTGCATCTGCCATTTAACCACTGTCTACCATATGTCCAAGCTCAGAGGATGGGAGAAGCAAAGGTTCCCAAGAAAGCTACATCAGAAAAAGGGGGACAAGAGTGCATATGGTAAAGCCCCAAGGCTTAGGGTAAGGAGGTCAGTAGGGTGGGAGGAGGGACACATATTTCCAAATAAGGTCCAGCTTCAGGTCTGGGCAAGATGAGCATCCGGCAGCAGCTGTGCCTGTTTTGGGCCTGGGGGTCTCTGTCCCAAGGGCAACAGGTGTTGAAACTCAAAGAGCAGGTCATTAATACATGAGCATTTATTTTGAGGGCATCCTGGCATCATCCCCAGGGGCAAAAGCCAGTCTTTGAATTATTTGTCTCCAGTTAAAAACATAAAATATCCTACGTATTCTGTTTCTATCTCCTTCAAGAGACAGGACCTCGAAACAGGAGACAGGGATATTCAGTGACCAATGGCACACGGAAGTGCCCACCACTTCTGCATCTTCCTGCCACATCCACTGTGCCCCCCTCAGAAGGGGCCAGATGGGCGAGGCCAGCTAGGCTGGCCCTAAATCTGGAATGGATGCTTTTAGCCATGAGGGACTCTGAGGTCTGTAGGTCTCTTCCACCTCCATTCCCAGAACAGCTCCATAAGCTGAGATGTACATTCCAGACTGAGCCCAGGGACATTTCCATTGTCTGACCAGCTTGGTGCTGGGCAGGGTTTGTGCCTACTCAGTTTTGGCTCCCTCTCGACCTTCTCCAAATTCTGTCTTGTCTTACAATCCTGCACGTCCTGTGTCTTTTGTTCACTGTCTGAAATATGGGAAAAGAGAAGAACACAGACTTATTTCTTTGTGGCTCCCAACATCTTTGTAAGAAAATATTAATAAGAGTTCTATCCTTTGAATCATCCCGAGTTCCTGAGATAAAAAGACAATTTGAATATTAATCATTACAGAAAAAGGAAGAAGCAATTTTGACAGGTCTCTTTCTGTATTTTGTGGCTTCATGGACACTCTGTGGATTTTAAATGCTAGTGATGCAAAGATCCTATGACTTATGCTGTTACATGGGTTACAAACCACATGGCCCAGAAGAGTATACAAACATTCCTCGACCTGGGATTTTTCTGCTGGATAAACCCTTGGTAGATTGAAAATCTCTGAAGCTGAAGATGCATTTAGCACATGAGAACACGGTAGCTTAGCAACACAGCCCACTGTGAAGCATCAAGCTCTCCCTTTGTGATTGTAGGGCTGCCTGGAAGCTGCAGCTCGGGCTCAGTGCTTGCCCACGATCATGAGAGTATCGCATGGCACATAGCTGACTGAGGAAAAGATCTAAAGCACAAAATTCAAATTATGGCTTCTGTTGAATGAATACCATCTCCACACCACTGTAATTGAAACATCATATACCAAAGACTATTTGCCTGTCAGCAAAGGACACTTTCCTCAGACCACTGCATGGCAGCAAATGTGACCCTCCTTTGCTCTCCTGCCTGGCTACCTCCACTTGCTGAAATCCTAACACCCCTCAGGGTCCCTGGGTCCTTCCCAACCACCAGAAGCCATGTCTCATCCTTTGTAGACCTTTCCAGAACACTTTAAATATCTCCTCTACTCTCCCATGTAGCAGTTGCAACTCACTGTCTCTCTGATGTGTCCCAGTTTTTACGTACCTCGGGAACTTGTAGACACACACACAAACACACAAACTGAGAGCATTTAGGCAGTTGTTAGGACACTGAAAAAGGAATGAGAAAATCTGGGCTCCAGTCTTAATTTTACTTCCAGTTTCTTTCATAACCCCAGGCAGCTTGCTATCTAGAAATTAAGATTCCTTACCTGAGAAAAAGAGAGGTCAGCATGTGTTAAGGGTTCCTAAATCCAGCGGGACATCAACAGTGCTTGGTGTTCTTTTTTAAAAACCGATAATGTAGATCTCCTCAAAGATTCTAATTCAGTAGTTGGGCTGGAGCTTGGGAATCTCCATTGAAAGGCCCTCTGCTGATGGTGGTGACACGCTTGTCTGCCTAAGGATACCCTGTGCCTAAGGATATACACTCTGAAGAGTAGCTGGGTTTTATTTTTTATTTTTGTATTAGTTTTTAGGGAAGGGTCTACAAAGTGTTCAGAATCTCACTACTAGATCCAACTTGTAGTAATCCATCTGTTTACAGTCTCCCAAGAGCTGGGATTACAGGCACATGCCACCATGCCCAGTCTCAGTTGCCATCTCAGCATTCCCCCAGAAGCAGTGCTGTCATGATAGGCCTGGGGATTGAACCCCCGGCCCCTATGCACAGGCACTTTAATCTGCTGAGCTATTTGGCCGGCTCTAAGAGTAGCTGTTTGGAAGGCAGATTCCTAGCCAGACATGGTTGTTACATACGTGCAATTCCAGTACTCTGAGAGGCTGAGGCAAACAGATTCCAAATTTGAGCCCAGCCTGGAGGACTTAGCAACTTTGCAAGGTCCTGTCTCAAAAAACAATTTTTTTTTTAATAGCTGAGAATGTAGCTCAATGCAAAGACCCTGGGTTCAACCCTCAGTACTGGAAAAATAAATAAAACAGATTTCTGGACCCCAACCCAGACCTACTAAGTGGAACTTTCCAGCAGAGAGATCTGATAACTTGTGCACCTAGCCAGCACTCCAGGTGACTTGTCACAAAGTTGGCCTGGGAAACAAAGCCGCCCAAGCCTGGCAAGATTGTGTCCACCTGGAGGTGTGTCAGAAGGGCTGAGTCTCAAGCCTTTCCTTGTGCTACCCGAGTCCGAATCTGCATTCTAACAAGAGTCCTAGTGCCTGTGGCACACTGGTTAAGGAAGTTTGGGCCACGGCCTGTGGTTCGCAGAAGCTAACAAGCTGCAGAGCCTGCTGGAAGGCTTATTGATAGCAAACCACATTCCTGAGCTCTGCCCTCCCATTTCTGATTCTCAGGTCTGGAGTATCCCTGGTGACACTGATGCTGCTGATAGGGGACCATATTTCAAGAACCAGACCTTATGGGTTCTCTAAAGGCTTTTATTTCCAGGCATGAAAACTTTTCTCCCTTTTTTCACTCATTAATCTACTTGGATGCTTGCCAATCCTCTTCACCCACCCTCAGTGTGTAAACTCCTATGAACTAATTACAAGTGTAACTGTTGAGGTGCTATATTGTTTGGCAAAGACTGTAGTTGTTGTAAAAGTTTCCAAAAAGTCAAAATGTGGAGGCTGGGTACGGTTGTACAAAAGGAGACATCCTCTCCTCCTTTCCCTTGCCTCTGCATGAATAAGGTGGGAGATGTAGTTCCTGAGAGTGTCACTTTAACAGGATTAAGAAAAAATTATTTTAATGTATTTAGTTGTTACAGGGTCTCACTACACAGCTCAGACTCATAGTGATCTTCCTGTTTTCAGCCTCCCCAGGGCTGGGATTACAGGTGTGCCCTGGGGGCAGGGCTGGCACAGAATGTGGTCCCTGTACTTACCTAAGCAGGTACTTTAGTCTACTGAGCTATCTTGCCAGCCCAAGAGTGCCACCTTAAAAGCCCCCTTGACAAGATTGTGCTTTGTTGCTCTTAGAAGCAGGATTTTTTTCACCCTTGTCCCCAGAACTCGAGGGTTGGGCACAAGCAGCTGAAAAGTACGGGAGCTAGAGACACTGTCTACCTTCTTTGCTGAGGGTACAGAAGGTGCTTCAGGACAGACTGCTTCAAAATCACCCCACTGCCTGGGACTGTGCTAAAACTATCACAGGAGCCACCAGGGAGATAGCGGTCTAAGCACCTGCCTTACAAGCACAAGGACAAGGTTTCATCCTTGTTACCACATGCCATGCCAGTCCCAAACTGAGCTGGCCACTGAAACTGGGTGTGGTAGTACCCACCAGTAATCTCAGCACTGGGGAGGCTAAGACAGGAGGATCACTGTGAGTCCAAGGTGCATAGCAAGATCCTGTACCAAACAAATAATTTTTTTTTTAAAAGATTTTTAAAAAAACAATCAAAAAACCTGTCACAGGAATTTCCTCTTATGATTGTACCCAGCCTGCTCACACGGGACCTCCCTGCACATGTGCTTTCTGGGTCTCCCCAAGGCCTTGTATAAGTGCCCACTGGTGTCTCCCACCTCAGCTCTAGGACATTTCTGTGGCTCGCCTGGCATCAAATTTCACACCATAGCACTAGCCTTCCACTAGGTGGCACCACCACTGTGCTAGATGCCACAAGTGCCCAGCAGTGTCTCACGGCAAGAGCTAAAGTTCTTTAGGTGTGAGCCAGCTCTGGTAAAGTGAATGAAAAGTAGAAGCTCTCTTCTGCACTTTGCTGGGCCTTGCCAGAGAAATCCAGAGTGGCACTGTGCCATAATGGAGTTTAGGCAAAAAGAAAAGCTAGTAATAAAGATCTTGTCCAAATTTAAAAATTAAAAAAATAAAAAAAAAATTTGTTCATCATGATATATATATATATATATATATATATATATATATATATATATATATATATATATATATATATATATATATATATATATATATTGGTGTATGTGCCTGGCCCAGCCCTGGGTGCAGTGCTGGTGTGGCATGTGGTGTCGGGGATCAAACCGTGGTCCCTGCATGCTTGCCTATGCAGGTGCTTTAGACCACTGAGCTATCTCACTGGTCCCATCATGGAATTTTTTGCATTTTAATTTTTAAAAAAATATTGCAATACAGTGTGTTTAATGTAACATTTTTAGCCAAGAGGGGCATGCCTCGCTCAGCACTTCAGCCTAGCAGTGTGGTTCATGTCCCATTTTTTTGAAGCCCTGTGGCCAGAGCTGTTCCTGCTCCCCCTAGGCTGAGGCAGCTTCCATGACCTGGGAAAGAGGCTTTGCGCAGGAGCTTGAGTCATCTCAGGATAAATTCTCTCCAGGAGGCCCCTTCTCCCTGTGAGCCCACTTCTGCTAGCCTATACCCCTACACCTCCTAAAAGTCTCAAATGCCAGACTGCCACCACCTAGCCATACCCCCCCAAACCCCTGCTAGTAGGAGAGAGTTTCCAGTCCCCAGCTCAGCACATTACCCTGTCTTCTAGAGCATTCCTGTGTCCTCTGCATGTAATAACTAGATGTAATTCTTTTCCTGAGGGACATAAATGCTGATCATTTCTCACATGCTCTATTTAAGTTGCCATTTCCTCTCTCCTTGTCTTAAGGAACTTTCATAACTTCCTCTTCTTTAAGGAGCGAGTAGTCCCTGAAGTTCCAGGTGACACCTCTCTCAGTGGTCCCAGTTACTTTCCATGGGCCCAGGCTCCCTCTGCAGAATGCAGTGAGAGTACAGCTGCCCACTGAACCAATAAAGATTACAGGGCTCCAGCGCACAACCACGGTAATCTCTCCAACCTGGGCTGAGAACCACCTGGGAGAGCTTTTCAATATCCTGATGCCTACCACGAGGTATGGCGCATGCACAGTGGCAGCTACTTGGGAGGCGGTGGCAGGAGGATTACTTGAGCCCAAACAGCACCATAAGTGCCTGCCTGGCAAGTGCAAGGTCCTGAGTTGGATCCATGGTACCATAAAAAAAAAAGGAATAAACATAGCTCCCAAGTCACACAAGACCAATAACATCAGAATCCTTGAGGCACAGCCCCCAAGCATCAGTTATATATAACACCCCAAACCTCCAGCTGAGAACAATCCGCCCTCAGTGAGAACCTGGGCACCAAAACCAGGCTGGGGTGCTATCAAGGCTGCCACCTACAAGCAGGAGGAGAATGGACCGCGGATGGTACTTCTGTTGTTTTACAAATACAGTTTCATAATGAGCGTGTATTACTTCTCACTATACATATTTTAAATGTTAGCCGAATCCTGTCTGCACTGCCATGGAGAGGCAACCAGGAAGGAAGATGCTGGCTCCCACAGATAGAATCACGAGCTGGTGCACAGCAGTCCAAGAGGCTTTGAGGCTCAAGTACCCAAGCTTCTCCCATGTCTGGTTGTCCTGCCCCCAAGACGTCCCACCTCCACAAGCCCACGTGCCCACCAATGGAAGTGCTGCTGAAGTCCACCTTGATGCCTCCACTCCCAAGTGGTGCCACTCTCCTTGGAGCCACACTCAGAATAAAACTCTCCTGGCCTTTCAAGGGTCACCAGATGGCCATTGCATCCATGAACCCGTGTCCTGTCCAGATGAGGAGCTCCGATTGCTGGGTCCGCCCCCTCTTTCCCAGTTGATCCTGCTGCCCCTTCCTTCTCCATGTGCTAGATTGGCAACACCCCCAGGATTTAGCTAACATTTAAAAAATACATAGAAGTAACGTATGTTTGTTAGAAGACTATAGTTGCAAACCATGAAACCGAAATGCCTTGTTCGCCTGTCCTTCCTCCTCTCATTCTCACTGTCCTGGGGTCAAGAGTGGGGTAGGGAGGTGCTGTGAACACAGACCTGAATGTCATACTTGCTGTGAGACTTCTTTCTGAGCCTCAGTTTCCTCATCTGTAACAGGTGAATAACTATAGTAGCTTTCCTAGAGGATTAATGGCATGATACAATAACTTGCCTAGAAAAATACTATCTATAATAATGGCAGTTCCCAAAGGCTGACTGAATTATCTCAGATAATTGCTAGAGCCAGACAAAGGCATGAAATACTCTGACTTTTCTTGTTTATACCGCTCGGATCACATGAGAACTGGGTTCAAGGGATTAGTAAAAATAGTCCCAAAGCCCAGTTGTTGAAAGCAGCCTCTTAGAAATGGTACACCAGAGGCTCCCAGCCCCCTTTTAAATCAAACTGCACTTGATGGAGATTGCCACTGCCACCAGAGGGCAGTGTTGGGTCACTGGTAAGGGGGAATGACCAGCATCCCAGGAAAGCCTCTGAGGAGGCTGCTTCTGTTCACGCCAAATGTCTCATGCCTGGAGTTTTCAGTGTGCTAGTCTGCTCCAGTCTGAAATGGGCAGTCTCCAGGTGCCGTGTCATAGAGGTGGGGGCATCCAAACCCCTTCCCAGTGACCACTTGCAATTCACTTAAATATGGCTGAGCTCAGATTCTGCTCTGGTCCCACAACAGGTCTTCTGTGTGACTGTGCTCCTCTCTATTCATGGCTGCACCTGTAGGTCACACGTCAGGCACTATCCTACTTTCCATCCCTTCCCTAGCCTAAGTCAGGTCCCACCAAGGGGTAGTTTCTCTGTCCTAGATGGAACTTCCTTGGTTCCTCCAGATCCACAGTGAACCCAGGTACTCCTAGGAAGGATGCATATACTTCCTAGATTTTCTTGACAATACAGATAATAAAACAAGGACCCCAATCACAAATTCCTGGAACATAGTCCAGGGTAGACCCTGCCATGCTCTCTCAGCCAATTTGAGAATGGTGCCAACATGCATCCTGCCAAGCTGACTTGCAACTTCAAACAATGCCCACAGGACACGACCAGAACCCAGAACTGGGACAGTGCAGCCAATCAGACTCGTGCTCCTCATCTCATTCCTACAGAGAGGTAAAGAAAGTACTTACAGAGACTCTACTTTCCAGGACCACTTAGATGCAAATGCTTTCCCTCTATTAAACACTGAGAAGCTCATGGTCTTGGCAGACACAGGTGCCCTTGACTTAGGGCCTGTACCACCTGGCCTCGAGGTTAGCAGTTGAGAATGTTTTGATTATGTGTACTCACCAAGGAGAATAAGGAAAAGTGTTCTTGTATGATTATGCAATTTTAGAGAAAGGGAAGCTGATAGGGTCCTTGACATGAGGGCTACAGACTATTTTAAGAAAGAGGAGAGGAAGGATACAAGGAATCAAAGGCTTTAATACTACTTAAACCAGAGAGATCACACAATCCTTGTGGGGGATTTATTGCTCAGATGGAATTTTTTTTCCTTTTTTTTTCAAAGTTTTATTGATAAACAGCAATGAGACAGTTTCAAATCAAATCGGAAGTACAGTTTCAACAAATAATACACTGCATATATACTTCATAGTGGTTAATTGCTGTACAAGAAGTGGACTTGTGATCCTATTTACAAACACCATTAGAACAAATCATTCTATTCATTAAGAGAATGCAACTATATATCTATCCTAA